GAAAAATGTTTTCAGGAAAGAGGTAGAGACCTTTTAGGGCAGAATGTCCCTAACAGATGTGGTATTCAGCCGGTTCTGACATGTTCTGAGAACGGGTAGTGGAAATTGTCAGTAGTTCGGACAACCGGCAAATAGGCTGGCCCTGCCCCCATAGTGGTCTATGCAGACTGCTGGTCATTTGCATCCTTCTAGAAAGCCCTTGAGGTTGGAGGTTGTTCTGTGAATTGTGCAAATGGATGTGGAGCCTTCTTGGAACTGCTGAAACAGAGGTGGTATTCAGCCAGTTCTGACAGGTTCTGGAGAACCAACAGCGGAAATTTTGAGTAGTTCGAAGAATCGGCAAATAGGCTGGCCCTGCCCCTGCTGCCTCCCAGCTGATCTTCTTTTGTTGCCATGAACAGGAGAAGGGAGCTGGAAAACAGGTTAGTGAGGTGGGGAGGAAATGGGGATTTTGCAGTATCCTTCCCCTGCCACGCCCACAAAGCCAGGCCACACCCACAAAGCCACATCCACAGAACTGTTAGTAAAAAAAACATTTGAATCCCACCACTGGTCCCTACTAGATGATGGGCAACCAGAAGAGGAGAGCAAGAAACTTGACCGACTAACACAGGGAAAAACCAGTAGTAGTTACGGTGCCTCTATATTAAAGGTTTACTTGGTTCCTCCTTTGATCCCCTAGGTCTAAGCAGCGACAGTGGACTGGGTGGTAGCACTGATGGGAGCACAGACGTCTTGGTGTTTGGCTCGGTGGTTGATAGTGTCACAGAAGAAGGTGAGATCTTCAGCCAAGGAGGGAGATGGGCCGCAGGAATTTCTGCAGAGCGCAGCCGTAGAACCCGCTGCCACATCCGACCGCCGTGGCTGCCATCTTTGAGATCAGAGAAGAGAGATAAGCGATCACAGTGGCTACTAGCTGAATAACCCACGTAGCAAAGTCATTGTTGGGAGATACAAGTTTCGGGATCAATGCTTCGTCACCCGTATTCTCATCCTTTTTTTTTCTCCAAAAGGCAAATGGGCTCCGTTTTTCCTTGAAGATGTTTCGCTTCTTGGACGGGAAACGAAACGTCTTCAAGGAAAAACCAAAAAGTCCAGTCGCCTCCTGAAAAAAAAAATAAAGCAACCACGACCTGCATTACATGAGAATCTCCCCATAGACCCATGATGGTGAACCTATGGCATGCGCAGCCATTTGTTAGGGCACGCAAGGCGTTGCACTGTCAGCTCCAGTGCGGATGTGCGTGTTGGCCAGCTGACTTTGGCTTTCATTTTCAGCCGTTTTTCGCCCTCCGGAGGCTTCAGGGAAGCTTCCTGAAGCCTGGGGAGGACAAAAAACAACGCAACGCGCAATGCCTACAAAGCCTCTGAAGCTCAGGGAGGGTGAAAAACGGGACCATCGTGTGCCAAAAGCAGGGGAAGGTGGGGGTCGCGTGCACACGCACAGTGGGGTGTTGTGCACATAGAATCATGGGTGTGGGCACTCCCGCGCACAACCCTCCGGCGCCCCCCCCCNCCCCCCCCCTGCTTTTGGCACGTGATGGCAAAAAGGTTAGCCGTCATTGCCGTAGACGGTGTCTCATTCCTTACTCTTCCTTCTTGCAGAGTGCGAAGTGTCGGAAGACTCCAGCGGGGAAGTTGAAATCGAGCAGGAGGCTTCCGATTTGGAAGACTTGAGGGAGCTGCATCCTGGTTTGCTGGTTTACAAGGCTTCGAGGGCCAGGAACCTGCCGGTCATGGCGGAGGCCCTGGCCCACGGCGCCAACGTCAACTGGGTGAATGAAGAGGACGAGAACAAAACCCCGCTGATCCAGGCTGTCATGGGGGTGAGCGAGACCCACGCGTCGCCGGGCCAGTTTCGAGATTTGCTCCATCAGGGCAAAGCAGGTCTGACGTGTCTATGTGTCATTAAGTCAAGAGGTAGCATTCAGCCGGTTCGGAACGGTTCTTCCGGAGTGGTAGTTGAAATTGCAGATGGCCCCGCCCAACCACCCCACCTCTATGGCATCCCATTTAGGCCCTTTTCTTTTAGCCAAAGCACATGCATGAAAGGCTGAGCACATGCGCAGACATGGCACATGCGCTCACATTTGTGAACCGGTAGGGAAGGTGAAATGAATACCACCTCTGCATTAAGTGGATCGTCGTCAGTGCCAGCTAGATTTCATCGCCCCCCGCTAAGTGTAGGCCAGGGGAAATCTACTCAGGTGGGGGAGAATCCCAAGTGGATCTCCAAATGTGGAGCAGAAGGGGATGGACTTTCTCCTTAAAGCTACGATACATAAATAATCCTCGACGTACGACCACGAGTTTTGCCCATTTTATGACCTCTCTTGCCGCAGTTGTTAAGAGAATCTCTGCAGTTATTAAGCGAGTCACACGGTTGTTAAGGGACTCTGGCTTCCCTGTTGACTTGGCTTGTCAGAAGGCCGCAAAAGGGGTATCACGGGACCCCAGGATATTACAACCGTCGTAAATCTTGAGTCAGTTGCCAAGTGTCTGAATTTTGCTCACGTCACTATAGGGATGTCAAGGTTCCAAATAGCATCCAAAAGTAAATCAGAGTCTAAGGCAAAGGATTCCTCAAAGTTCCAATTGATGAAGAGAGCCATGTTGGCACATCTGGGATAACCCAAATCTGAAAGCTTCCCGGTTTCCCCCACCCAGTTGAAAGTTCAAGATCTTGCCCCTACACCCACAAGTCCATCACATGGTCGAATC